ACTCCTTTAAGGGTGACCTCCACAACTGAGATATTTCTACCCATTCTCAACCACTACACGTGGGTGTGGGGCCAGGCCATTCTGCATCTCCACCTCTTCTACCAGCCTCGATGTGACTTCTTTATATCTTTAGTTGTAAAACTTCTGTTCAGCTAGACTTCAGATGGTTCTCCAGGTTGATTGTTCTACAATTTAGTTGAAATTTTAATGTGGTCGTGGAAGGAGACAAGCACAGCATTTAGTTACTCTGCCATCTTGGATCCTTCTCTGATTCATCCATTTCTTAACATATAAGAATCCTTAAAATTCTACATTTTTAAAGTCATAAAACACTCAAATTTTAAAACTTTCCTAATTTTATTTTCTGTATCTCAAATAAAGAAAAAGAAAGTCAGATATGATAATGATTATTGGAATAATAAGCTTTTTTTTAATTCCAAATAAGGGGCTAGTTGTTATGTCCTAGGGAACTTTCAAGAATAGGCCTGCTCTATTTAGTGAGCATGTATTTGGGTATTAGTGAATTTGAATTTGTATGCTATTTCCTGAAAGGTAGAATGGAAGATTATATGTAAATAAATAGCTGTGTGTGTGTGTGTGTGTGTGTGTGTGTGTGTGAGAGAGAGAGAGAGAGAGAGAGAGAGAGAGAGAGAGAGAGAGAGAGAATGGGTGGGAGGAAGAAGGAGAGAAAGGGAAAAAGTGAGGGAGAAAAGTGCCGTGGAAATGTATTTAATTTTAAATGGCTTGCTTACAAATGCCTGGTTGACCTTGGAAATCTAAATAAATCAATATTTTGGATGTGATCTCTGTAAGTTCCACCAAAGTAGGGTCAGTACTCTGAAGGCACTTCTCTTAGAAGGCAGCACCTGGCATACTTTAATTGGCGTATTCCTGGCCGATTTGCCTCTACATTAGGAAGCACAGAAGAGAACGCTTTCCTCTTGCCATTAGCTCTAGGCCCTTCTTTTTGACTTATGAAGAAATGTTAAAAGAACTAATATGTACAACTTAAGTAAACAGTGACTAAGAGGGGACGTGCTAATGATGTTCAAGAGTTTGAGAGGTGCATACACTGAGGAGGATGAGACATTATTTAGCCTGGTAACTGCATATTGCCAGGAGACACAAAATCACATAAATTTAAGCAAACGGAGATTTAAACTAAACACCAGATCCTTGAATAAATATAACGCTCAGCAATGTGAGCAAGCTTGTGGTAATAGGTTCAAATGTTTAAAATACCAAAATATTGAAATTTGCATTTCAAGTAAATATTTATACAAGGGAAGAAAATAATAGATAGGAACAAGAGAAGGCCCTGAGTTGTAGCCATAGAATTTTATTCCACCAGAGAACTTAGCAACAGGTTAAGTGTCACATTCTGGCCTGAATCTTCTTAAGGTTGAGACAGTAAAAAGAAATGGTGACAGGGCCCTTGGATTAAGAACTGCTAGTCAGAGTGAACTGAAATAAAGCAAGAGCTCTGCCCTGATGGGGACAGGCACACTGGGGCAAAAGGTGAGGAGCAAGACAATCTGAGTAAATTTTAGAATTTTGTGACTCAAGACTAATGCAGCGTCCTCTATGCCTTGAAACAAGAAACTGCAGTTGCTCAGATGAAAGAAGTGGCATTGTTCTTGTTTCCACGGGGGGCTCTGTTGTTGTCTCCACACCTTTTTCTGAAATAATAACTCCATACAGCAGATACATCCTTAGGACATGGCCTTAGGACATCCAGCCTGTACAACAGAGTACCAAGTGTATCCTTTCTCCCCCAGTAAAAGGGTACTCTTATTAGGATCATTAAAAGGGAGTGGATTTATACACCAGCTTTTCTTACAAAACTACTTGGTCTCCTTTCAATATTTAGCTCCTTTCTCTTAAGTTATATGATGTGTTGAATCTGACTCTAGTTTCCGCTTGTATTTTTAAAATCAGTTTGGCTAACTCAACAGACATTTATGGAGTAACTAATCTTGCCAAACCTTGTGCTGATTCATGGGGATATTGCGAGTCAGGCATGGTCCCTGGGGAATTTACAATCTGGTTCTTTGGCTTTCTAGCAACAGCAAAGCTCCCATTTCCTCTCAGATCACTGTGGATTAATGAGAGATTCTCAGTTGAAATAGGAGAGATAATGAGTTATGGGCAAAGTCTCCTGTGGATGCAAGTAAAAAAGTCCAGCAAGAAATGCCAGGAAATTCAACAAGTTTCAAACTGAGGCTCCAGGGGATAAAGGAAGAATGACACGAAGGAGGGCTCAGAGATGTGTAAACATTTTAAATTCTTGTCAGCCTGCCTGTATGAGGGAAGATCATCTAGTCTCTCCTACCTGTATTTAGCTTACACCTCGAGCCTCCCCCACTCTACTGAAACAGCTATGTACGTTGGATGCTGAAGATAAAAGCAGCCATGAGAGTGGAAAAGAGATATCATGGGAGAAGCAAAAATGATCTTTCTGCCTTATGAGTGGGGGACTAAAGGGAAAATTCTTCCTTCATCCTCAGGTAGTAAAGGGGGAAATTCTTCCTAGAGCTGTGGGATTGAAAAGTCATCCCATGAGGATTTATTTTGTTAGCCGCTCATCAGGGGGAAAATGAGATTATTAATACTTACTTTGGCATGTAAGAATCTCAGGTCCAAAACCCAATAAATATTATTTTATTTTCTCTACTTCTCCTTAATGTTTACTCTCATGGTGCCATATTCCTAAACTGGTAGGGCCTTAGATGCTGAAATAATCTTTTCTCCTCCTGGAACTATTTATGTCTCTCAGAAATTCAAATTGCAAGATTGAGGTCCATTACTCACCGTTTCTGAGTATTTCAAGGGAATTGAAAAGAATTCAGGATTATTAGCCATCTGCAAGGAGACCATACTTGTTCCTTTCTTCTATTGACAGCGCTGTACCCACTTGGGAATAAGGCTGATGGGTGTGGGACAGGGCAGGGCAGAAATCCTAAAACATTCTGACATCATCTTTAACTCTCTTCTCATTCAATCCATCATTAATTTCAAAATCAATATTCAAAATCTATATTCAAATTCAAAATAAAAAATTATGTCTCACTGTCAATCCCCCCTCTGCACACCAAATTTTTAATGAGCTGATACCTATTTTGGTCTCCAGTTGTCAGAATTGCCATTAGTGTTTAAGGTATTTACATTTAGCTAGAAAATTCTTAGTATCAATTAGTTGGCATGCTGCTCAGTCTATAGATACAAGGATGCAGGATATTTTTTTTTCTCCAACCCCAAGTCTTGCCCAGCTAATCCTAAAGTGGACTATTACCCTTTCTTATGTATCTGTTTTCTATCATGTTCCACTTCTATGACACGAGAAGTCGGGTCTGACTACTTGCTTGAATGTGGAGAAGAAAAAAGGGGAAAACACAGACAAGGAAAAAAAATAGCCTTTTATAAATAATATGCACCTGTATACTTACAAACTAATCACTTTCAGTAGAAGTGTGTGCTAGATAATGTTCAGGCCTTCAGAACCAAACAATGTTATGTAACTATTGCCTTTTTTGTTGTTGGGATTGCAAAGTTTCCTCAAAACTAGTGATAGAGACATTGACAGAAGACTTGAAGCTTGGAGTCTTCCTGACAGTTGGGTTACAGAATGTAATCAAAGAGGCTCTGTTTTTCTTTTGGGATCCTAGTTAGCAGGCTTAGCTGACATGTTTAGACAGTGAGTTTGTCTCTGTGCTAGCTGTCTGTAATGTTGATTTGGCCATCAGGGAATTTCCAGAAACGGAAAACAGCTTGTGGCCTTCGAGCAGAGCTATTAATTGGTACTTAGTGTAGGATGACCAGGAGCAAGGGTTTCTCCGTGATGGCAGGACTGTGCCCTTTAGCGCCCTCCCAGCTGCTCTTATCTAATCCAGGCAGCAGTGGGGTTTTGCAACTTGGGGGTAAAGGGGTTTCAATTTAGCTAGAGTTGAAATCCATAGGCCTTCCAAGCTCGTCCTGCTCGACCTCTTTTCCACTTCCCCTTCTTTTTCCCCATTTCCTCTTCCTCCCCTTCTACTTCCTCTTCATGATCTATCTTCCCCCTCGCTTCATGAAGGAAGTCATTTAATCATTTATACTCCACATGAGGGGAATTAAGCAAACCTGCCAATCTTGAGATTCCTTTACTAAAATGGAAACATCCAACTTTATAGAACTTTCCAAACAGGCCCTCCAGACGCCTAATTCCTAATACCATTTAATCCAGTGGTATTTAACTCCCTACTGCCACTCGCCTGTGTCACAGTCTATCACAAAATCCACCATCAGCAGCACGTTCTCATGGATCTAGTCCATGGTCTGAAACTCTCAACAATGATATAGTTTCATAATGAACATGGAAGCCATAACTTCTAGACAGGGTTTTGAACTGACCCTTATGAACAGAATTCCACATAAAGTGGTAGAGGAAAGTGACAGTTTCTCAAAAGGAAGGCACGTCCCCTTCTCATAAGAACTTTGGTTGGAAGAGTGATTTGCAGCATGGGGTTATTGATGATGTCCGTGCTTCACCTGTAGCCCCTCTGAGCCCGTTACAACTTGCCTGAGCCTCCCCTCATCTCCCACTTTTTTCTAAACCCTTAACCAACGACTGAGGGGTGTGGATGTGTACACACTGCAGCTTCTTGCCTCTTAGTCAGGACGACTTTGAAATGGGACATGCGCTGTCCCCAGAGCTCCTTGAGGGATTGAGCTGACTTGCCTTCTGTGGAACTTGGCATTGCACCATTGCTTGGCTTCTTTTTTGCCAGGTTCCATTTTTCCACTCACCTACCAGATTTCCTGAGAACACTTCCTCTTTACTCACGTTCACATGACTTTTTGTCCTGGGGTTCTGCGTCTGTGGAACCTGACCTCAAACAAAGCACATTGTGGAATTATTGAAAAGCCATGTAGATTTATCATTCCTCAAAAGAAAACAAATAGGCAATCTGCTCTGTATTGTAAACCTTAGAAAAACAATCATGCCAACCTCTGTTTTTCAGGAAGAGAATTTGAAGGAGAAGAAGAATATCTGGAGATTCTCGGCATCACCAGGGAGCAGTCAGGCAAATACGAGTGCAAAGCTGCCAATGAGGTCTCCTCGGCGGATGTCAAACAAGTCAAGGTCACTGTGAACTGTGAGTATGGCAGCAGCCAGCAGGGGCTATATGCCCAGGGTCCACCTCCACCTCCAGTGAGCTCGACAGATCCCATTAGCAAAAGAACACTGCATTTCAAGCAGATGTTCCTCTGGTCAGGGATGCACATTTATACATTTGACACATCCAAGGGCAGGACTTGGCCTTTGGATTTGATAAATCTACACTACCGACTCTAAATATATCCCATAATATATTTAACAATACACTCTGTGTTTTATTCAGACTACAGAATTAAGAAAACATGATCAGACAGCACTAGCATTTCTGACAATCACTCTGCTGGTCTTTGTGGAGACCAAGGTCATACTACTTTGAAAAAAGCAATAATTCATATCCGCTTTAATGGGAATTTTCATCTTAATGTATTGTTTTTCAGAAAGGAATAACCCAAGATCATATTTTATCCTTTGCTATTTAATTAATTGGCCTTAGGAACAAATTCAGGCCTCTGTGGTCAGATCCATGTGTCCCTGAGGGCTACTAGGGACACCTAATGAGTTAGTTTTGGCTATCTGTTTGTCCCAAAGTGTGAGTGTTAGAAAGTAAGATTTCTCTAAGATGCATGGGTAAGTGGGCATAATTTGAACTTCTCAGATGAAAGGATCCTTAGATGTAGTTCAAAAAAGACAGAAGGTGGGGATCAATCCATATGATGTGTGTCACCCAACAAAGGAATAAAGAGAATCTGTTTACCCTGTTCAGTTAGGAGTGACTTTCCACATTGTTCAAATTCAAGTTTCCACATCACACAATTGTGGCTAATGACAGGGATGAATGGATATCCTGGCAGATCTTCCCTCCTATGCATTTAACACGCACAACACAAATATACAACCTATGTACACACCTATGCACATATAACACACACGCACAAGCACACAGACACATATGCATAAATAACATATTTGAAAGTACGCTTTAGACTGTGGTGAGTTACTTTTCATTATCTTAAGTCCCCCATGCAGTTACCTATATGCCAGTGATTCTGTGTAAATTCTCTGGCAATATAGGTATAATTGACGCCATTTAAGAGTTTGAGACACTGAAGCCCAAGAAGATAAAACTGCCTTTCCAAGGTGACACAGAAAGCAAGTGGAAGAAACAGGTTCAGACTCAGGCCCCTTTGATTCTAAAATTTCTGCTCTCTGCAGAGAGAGGAGGAGGAGGAGCTTTCAGTTGTTAGTACCTACTGTGTGCAGCAGTGAATTAAAGGATTTACATCTGTCATCTAATCATCACAGTAACCTCATGAGATCAACACTATTAGCCCAACTTTAAAAATGTGGAAACTGAGGCATAGATTGCTGAGGAAACTTGCCGGGCTGTATTCTATCCCAGGGCCTTACTCCAGCCCTGCAAGCTTCTGAAACAGACAGCGAAGTGCCTTCCCACCATGCCTAGAAGAATCCAGTCGCTACACCTCTGCCATAGACATTTATGGCTCCCATATCCAAGACGCAAGGGGCCGCGTTTGATGAGCTCTGAAGTGCTTTTATCCCCTCGCTGTCTGCAATTTTTTTAGTAATAGAGTTTTGAAATGCCAGTATTACTACTCTTTCCCAGGACTGGGTGGGTTTCAAAGACACATTAATGATCTCAATGTTATAATATGCTTTAGGACCTTTTTTTCACATGAAAGGCAATTTCTCTGGGTGTTTATATAAGTTATAATTAGGTTAGTAGCTCCTTTTATGTACACACAGCCATGCCATCATCGCCCACCTCTTCTCTGACTTTTGGAGTTTAGATTTTATTTTCTCTTAATTGACCTTCCTCTTAATTAGATTTCTGGAAGTCCAATCATGGAGTACATAGAAAATATTTATGCTTCCATTGTGTGAAACATCAAAGTGGTCTGCATTGCCGATGGTTCCCAAGATCAAAGCCAGCTGCCTGGACTGTATTATTATTATTAGTGCAATTAGTCTGACATTCCTCCTACTTGACTGTCCCCAAAGTGTACTCAGAACAGGAAAAAATATGGATAATTTTCAAGAAAAGGCTTTTATGAAAATGTGAGCTTGTGCTAGTGATGAGTGAACCACAGAAGAATATGGACAGAACCTCGAGATTCTAAAAGACCACCTCATAAAAAGTTAATGAGCTTAATCAGACATCTAGGATGTCCTAACCAGCAGCACCTAGCACACGCCTGACCTTATAAAAAATTGGTCAGTAAATGTTTACTCAATGAGTAGGTGACAAACACACAGGTAAACTCTGCCTTCTTAACATTTCCCCAAACTTTGCAAATGATGGTGGACATAAATCAAGAATTATTCTAACATCAGTTTCCTTTGGAATCACCTTTGAACCAACACTTCATAAACTCCGTTTATATTACATTGAAACAACTAGCCATTGCTCCTCTTGCCCTGTTCAAGCAATTTGTTCGACTTAAATGTAACTGTAGTAAGTAGATAATGACTCCCAGATTGCATTACAGAGCCAGGTCTGGCTAGCAAAACTCAGGAGTACTGAGAAATATCTAGTATCACCTTCGTCACTTCATCTAAGCCTGGCCTACTATGAAAATATCCCAGTATTGAAACTGATTTCTCTTTTTTTTCAAAACACAGTATTTGGAATTAGGTCAGGGTATCAAGATAGCTAAGATAATTAATGGCTGAATAGAGTGTTGTAATGAAACAGACCTGAATACCACTAAAAACCAAACAAACAAACAAACCAAAAAAAAAACAATCCCAGTGCTGGTAATTTTTTTCCTACCAGCATTGTAGTGATTCCTTTCCTCAGCTGCCAACAGGTGTTTGTTGCAGGGCACCTAGAAGCTAGAGCAGGAAACAAGGGAGACATAGCAGTTTCTTCCTCTTGATTAGCTCACCAGCTGGATTCTACAGGCTCTCCTTTATTTCTTTATTTCTTTCTTTATTTTACTTCTCTTAGATAATCCTTCTCCATAGGTGGTCTGTGCATTGCACTTAGCCATTTGATATGCCAAATCTATTTCCTAAATGGTAGGAGGCCCTGGAGTTTATAGAAGCTAAATTATTGACCTAAAATCAACTAAAATAGCTTAGTAAATTTTTGCATAGTAGGCAGGACTTTTGATTTCTTATATCTTATTCACAGGATAGCTGCTAACTTCTTCCAGATCTCAGCCCTAGAAACAGTTGTCCTTTCATTACAATTTCTATGTGCAATCCCTCAATTTCCATTCTCACAGTGCATTAAAAGTGAATCTACTGGGCGACCAGTTAGCTCAGTTGGTTAGAGTGTGGTGCTGATCACACCAAGGTTGCTGGTTCGATCCCCGCATGGGCCACTGTGAGCTGCGCCCTCCCTAAAAAAGAGTCAGCTATGCCATTTGTAGCATGAAAGCAATGTGTAACCAATGACCATGAATGTTTCCCAGTAAAATTTTTAAAAAAACACAAAAACTGAATCTACTTATGGGTTTGTCTCATCATCCTAGTGTCCAGTATACTGAGGATAACACCTAGTGCATAGTAAATGTCTAATAAATACAGCCTTTTAATTTTATTTTGACTCTTCCTACACTGGACTCTTCCTATTCCTGGAGAAATTCTCAAAAGCTGTGACTCTCAAGACTGCCCCTCACACCATTGACAAGCTAATATTCCTACCTGCTGCCTTCCCACAGCTATCTCTCCAACATGGTTCACATTGTTACTCTTTATTACTTCTTTTCCTCTACTTATCGCCCTTTGAACTCAGCTTTGCCTCCACCCTGGTATCCAGAGCTAACCAACCCCACATAGTCACAGGGAGGCATGAGACACTGGCATCTCTAAAGCTCACCCTTATATTTGATAGCCATTTATTTAGAGGAAGCAGAGGTTACTACCATACACAGTTGGGACTGAAGACATCTCTTGTCCCCAGAAAATATATATGTATTTCAACTAGACTTTTCAGTGCTTTGATTCAAAAATCACCTGATGAGGAAATTTTAGAAAAATAACTGCTCAATATGGCTCAAGCTGGCTACCTTCACTAGCTATCCATAGCTTCACCTATCCATTCTCTATGCCACCCTTTAGTTTATTCATGTATTTGGGAAGTATCAGTAAAGACATGTCCTAATATTTATGATCTGTTATGGGATCTTCAGAGGAAATACTCAGTAAGAATCCAGAGTTACCGTAATTTTCTACCATAACTTTGCAATGTGAACCAGAACCATAACTTTCTGAGTACCTTCAGAGTACCAAGACTACGCTAAAGATATTGTATGATTCAGTGCAATCATCACACTGACAGTGACCAGCCAAAGAGGAGCCATTTTGGACCCAGCCTGCCCCAGCAAGAAGGAATATTTACTTTATTACAGACAGATATTGTTTAGTATGTGTAGTATTGCTGGTAGATAGTGATTTTAAAACAAGACAACTTTTAGTCACTTTCATTATTGTTTCTAAATTCTCTATGGACAATGCCTTTCTTATTGCCTGCATTCTTTGCCCCCACCCCCATTGGTCCAACATTGCATACTAACCCTGAGAGATAATTGAATCATCCCCATTCAGAGAGGACAAAAGCAAAGCTCAGAATATGGAAGCATTTTCAGCCAGAAAATCAAAGAACTTATGAGTGGTAGAGTTAGGACTCTAACCCGAGTCAAACTCCAAAGCCCTCTTTCCTTCTGTGACCCTATGTGATAATAATAATAAAAATAATAAATGTAATCACTTTGGATGTTAAACATGCTCTCATATACGTGGTTTCATTTGATCTTTACATCACACCTGAAACCTAGGTAGGCAGGTGTCATCTTCTACATTCATAGGTCAGGAGCTTCAGGAGGTCAGCATGTAGCCTATAGGAGGTGACAATCTAAGTGACAGAAATGGAGCCCACATCTCCTGATTTCTAATGTGGGTTTATATCCACTGTGTCACTGCATGTTGTGCCATTTTTGGTTACCCTGTAATAGCAGAAATATGTATAATAACATTTACCTTTCAAGCTATCAGCATGCTCCTCGAAATGGTTGCTTCCCTTATTTGGAATTTATTTTTCTCTAAAGGAATTCATTCCAGTGGAAGCACAGAGAGGTTCAGAACATGGGCTTCAGAAAGATGGGTTCAAATCTATACGTCATTAAATGCTCGCTATGTGAATTTGGACAAGTTACTAACCCTATGGAGGTCTGTCTTCTCATTTATAAAGTGGGTTACTAATTCTTACCTCCTAGGGGTATTATTTGAATGAAAAAAATATCTAAAGCCGAGTAGAGTGCTGGTACATGGTAAATGCCTAGAAATTGAATTCTTTATTAAGAATAGTGTTATGTTATACTATTATTACAAATATTATGAAGACTAAATGAAGGATATTTTGTTTGCTAGGCCACTGTCACTTTTATCCTATTCATTCTAATTGAAAGAGTCTTGTTATTGGTGATATAAGAAAAAAACCCTTATTAATATTCTCAGAACCCAGAATTCTGAAGTAATAAAAACTGGAAGAGTCCTTTGACAATTGGCAAGCTATTCCAAAGACACATAAAGAATAACAATGGACCTCCACACAGCATTTTTATTAAGTCACATTTTTATTATAACCATATTTTCAGTAAGGACATCTATTATTTTAACTACAATAGTCATGCCACAATATGATTTGTAATAATTTTTCTTAGCCTCACCTGTACAGAATTCATTACAAATGAATTTTGAAATGTTCATTCCAATAAGCTTTGAACAAATAGACCTGCACCCTTGTGTCATTTGAGAAATATTGGAAACAACGAGCTCTTCATACATTTATCATTACCTGCGAATTTACCCGAGTACAAGAAACTTTCTAGAACTTCAAGGAAGTCTTTGGCCTTCGTAATTGAATGGTGTCATCTTGTCCCAAGATGAGTGCACTTAATAGTGTTCTAGTGTTCAACCCTAGTTCACTGCCACCTTTCCCATGCTGGCATCTCTGAGGAATTAATAAATAGCTTATGACTTAGCTACTCTGGTTATAAACACATTGAGAAATAAGTAAAAGAGTAGTATGGGAGGTCCAACTGCCCCCATTATTATAAATCAAAGTGGTGAATGGTAGTAGCTTTTGCAGCTGACTTACTTCCCCCATCATGGCAGCCTTGGACTGGGGCAAGCCGGCCCACTTGAGACAGGGAAGGAAAGAGTCCCAAGTAAGACTTTGCAGTGGAGAAACAGAGGTTCTTCTCTGCTCCCCACTGGAAGCTTGATCCCCAAAGGAAGATGAGCCAAACAAACCTAGTTTGTTCTTCCCAAAATGTTCAGTCAGAAAAACCATTCTTCCCCCTAGGTCTCAGAGCAAGGATGTACACTAAATAATCTCCTGCCACATGGAAGGAAACATCCAGAGTGAGGAAGAATTCTCCCATGGAACTCTAGAGCTGGGACCTGTATTCCTGGCCCCCTGGAGGAAGGACTGGAAGGCTTCTACCATCGTATTATTATGTCAGGGTGCCCCAGCTAGGAGCGCCAGAGGTAGAGATGCCAGAGGTAGAAGGCGTAGAGTCTTGGCCCAGGTTTAGGGCTGGTTGAGCAAAGCGATAGTCATCATTAAGGATTTATCAGTTATAACCACATGGCTTCAGAAACAAACTAGTTAAGACTCATTTTACAAATTGAGACATTGAACAAAGTAATTGAATCACAAGCAAGATTATTTCTCCAGCCAACATGCTACAGATTGTGGAGTCATTGTCAGCTTTAGAACCTAATACAGATGACCTTTGAACAACATGAGGGTTAGAGGCACCAAACCCTGTGCAATAAAAAAATCTGCACATAACTTTTGGCTCCCCACAAACTTAACCACTATTATCCTATTGTTGACCAGAAGTCTAACCGATAACATAGTCAATTAACACATATTTGGTATGTTGCATGTATTTGTTAGTGTATTCTTACAATAAAGTAAGCTAGAGAAAAGAAAATGTTAATACATTTACAGTATTGAAAAAATCCCCACATATAAGTTGGACCACAAAGTTCAAACCCATGTTGTTCTAGGGTCAACTGTACAGTGCAGAGGTGAGCATGGGAAACTAATATTCATTCAGCGTTTTACTGCTGACCATCCGTTTCTCTTCTTATGTCTCTTACCTCAGTGGATGGCATCACCTAGATGTTCAAGCCAGAAGCCTGGCTGTTATCTTTGACACTCCTCCTTCTTTTCCTTGCCCTTCACATCTAATCTTGTCAGTGCTGAAGCTTCCTATCTCTGGATCTGAAATCAGTCCTTTGCCTTCTAGCCCCTTTATCACAAACCAAGTGCAGGCTCTCTCTGGAATCCTTCAACAATCTCCAAATAGACTTCCTTGCCTCTGGTTCCAACAGTTTATAGATGAAGAAATTGAAGCAATGTGACTCTCGACAAGGTCTGAACTCTCTAATGAGGAAGGACAATGAGGGACAGAGCCTAGATTTGAGCTCAGGTCTAGCAAACTTTAAATCCGAGCTTTTAACCCCTGTTTGATGTTCTATCCTTATACAAATACCTCCTCCACCAACACTGCTACCCCCAGTTATGGCATTATTCTTTGACTAGTTATTAATTAGTCAAAGAATGAATATTCTTTGATCTATATAGCCAATCATAGAATGAAAGAATTTTAAATGGAACCCCTTGGTGATCATTTTAAGCTAACTCCTTGTTTTTTTAGGTTTTTTTTAAAGATTTTTATTGGGGAATTGGGGGGATGAGAACAGTGCTGGGGAATTGGGAGAAGGGGAACAGTCAAGTTGCTGTCGTTTTGTTCTTCAGTCTAGTTGTGGAGGACGCTGCTTCACTGGCCCAAGTTGGCACCATCATTGCACTCTTCCCAGGTGAGGCAGATCAGTCGCTGGCTTCTGGACAGCCGCTCACACTGGCTGCTGGCTACACACGGTAGCTCATGGCAACCCACTGCCGCAGGGTCTGCAGCCTACGCCGTCACCGGCGACTCACGGCAACCCAGCTCCAGGTTGAGCTGTTGTTCAGCATCTTAGCTGTGGAGGGCAGTGTCACTGGCCCTCATATGTGGGATCCGAACCGGGGCCCTCTGGCATCCCAAGCCAGTTCTTAACCATCGCACCACTCGGCCGGCCCCAACTAACTCCTTGTTTTAAAAGAGGAGAAAGAAAAGGCTCAAACTGGTAAGAATGCTTACCAGAGCCACAGTTCTGGTTAAGGGAAGAGTCAAAATCAGACCTCTAGTGTCCTATTTCTGACCCCTAATCCTGACTCCTAACCCATGGAATAGATCAATGAGTTAATTTTTAAAGTTAGCAATGTAAGGATTAAGTGAGTTATGGGTATGAAAACACATTTGGGTCATAATGATGCAAACTGCTCAATTGTAAAGAATGGGCAGTTTTGACTAGAATTGGGATTTTTTTTTAATAGCTGGAAGGGATGCTATCGATCATTAAAGTGTGGTTTCCTCATTATATAGGTAATAAAACCAAGGCTCAGAAAGATAAAGTGGATTATGGGAGGTCTCCACAAACAAATTGAAATTAAATCCCAGGACTCTTAGTTTCCAACCCAGGGTTCTTTCCACTCATCATGTTGCCTTTTTGTGCCTGTACAAAAATGAGCAGATAAGTCTAAAGTAACAGCAACCACCACCACCACCACCCACCTGGCACGCCTGTTTACACACGGGCCGGTGATGCTTATCCAAATGTACTCTAATCCCACTTCTCTGACAGTGATTTAAAGATATCCAAGCTGATGTGAAAATGAAATAGGGGAGAAAATTGCAGACTAACTAGATGCTTTTGCACACCTTTTCTAACTAAGGTCAGAGTCTTCTATAGGCAGAAAACTTGGAAAAGAGTTTTTTACTACGAAGTAAAAAACTCCAGAAATAAGTGAGCTGCACCAGGCACTAAGAAGATTTAAATGAATTTTGTATACTACAGATCCTTGTACTATTTTCCCTAAATAAGCATTGTCCTCTACAAAGCCTAAACAGATTGTTTGGGTCAATTTGTTCCATATGCATGCAGCCACATTGCCATTTTCTGGCAAATAGCCTTTGGACAGGAAATTCTTTTTCTCTTTGAAGGCCCATAACCTGAACAAACACAGCACCATCAAGTGAGGACCTCACATCTGCCATCCTAACTCAGTCGTGGGGACCTGGAAATACTTGTTCCACTCTCCATAGTATTCTTTGACAGAATCATGTCAAATTAGAATGCCAGATGTGTTTTGTGATTGTTTTGTAGCCCAGTCCTAAACAGAAAGAATCAAGTGCACAACAGCCAGAGAGAGTAGAAAACTGGTACACCAGGAAGGCTTCTATGCACCAAGATAGATTTCAAACTGCACCTTCGTACATGAAAGCAAAATTACCTGGGTCATAGCAATAAGAGAACACATAGGAGAAAAAAGGGTAATCGTCTAATATTAGTTTGTTTGTTTTTCTGCATTTCTGAAACAATATCAGGCTCCGCTTGAGTTGGGAGCACTTACAGCCCTGAATTATTTTCATCAGACTTCTTACTGCCATCTCAGACTGTAACAATCCTAATGATGATAATGAGAAAGAAAAATGCTCAAATTGTACATTAAAATCCCAAGTCCTTTAGTATCACCACTTAATTTATGAAAAGAAAAAAATCTGTGCAAATATTACAATCTATGGGTGAAATAATTGATGGTTTATTGGAGGAGGAAAAAAAAATCCTAGATTCTATTTCCATAAAACCCTGTTAAGTATCCCATTTAAGTAAACCAAGTCTACATTTTCATTAATTATCTCTTATTTTTATTTAGTTTTCTAGTGATCAGCCCCATTTAGCTCATCGCATAATTCACAGAAATGGAGCTTTAAGACGATTTTTTCCTGCCCCTCTTCAATCAGATTCTCTAATCTCTTCTTGCTTGGAAATTCTGGAGTGTTCTCTGACTGTCATGTAAACTGTGTGCCTACTGTGTGCCTGTCCTTCCCACAGATCCTCCCACTATCACAGAATCCAAGAGCAATGAAGCCACCACAGGGCGACAAGCTTCACTCAAATGTGAGGCCTCTGCAGTGCCTGCACCTGACTTTGAGTGGTACCGGGATGACACCAGGTATGTATGTGCAAACCTGCTGTGCCCCCCACCACTCTGCTAGGTGGTCCTCAGGGCACCAGAAGCCCTAAGGACAAAAACAAGTCCAACTCTATTTAGGCCTATACCATTAGCCTCTTTCTTTTCCAGATCTCTTTATCAAGTGCTCTGGGGCTTATAGCTCTTAAGCTGAAAAAGCCCCAAAGCACTCAGTTTACATGCAGAGGGTGAGGTAGGTGCTTCAGTGGGCAGTTGTCACCTGCATGTCTTTCTTACCTATAGCAGAAACCAAAGCCCAGTGAAACATGTCCATCTCTGAATCTTCTCTGTGGATGGACATTGATCCAGATAATATGGAATTGCAAAATTACAATGAGGATTTTAGCAGGGGATAACAAACTCCCACGACTTCCTTTCTCTCCTTTTCCTCCAATATAACGATGAAAAAGGAATTACTATGCCAAATCTTCATCAGTGTTTCTTTTTACTCTTCTGTCTTTGAACTCTTAGGATAAACAGTGCCAATGGCCTTGAGATTAAGAGCACGGAGGGCCAGTCCTCCCTGACAGTGACCAACGTCACCGAGGAGCACTACGGCAACTATACCTGCGTGGCTGCCAACAAGCTGGGGGTCACCAACGCCAGCTTAGTCCTTTTCAGTAAGTATGCCAAAGCAGGCCTGATTGGGGAGAACTGAGGGGTTTGAATTCTCCCACGGAAAGCTTAAAAATTATTATTATTTTATTTGCTAAAGGTAAATTTATACAAACATCAGAATGTAGTTCACTGAAACAGAAATACAGGTTTCTATATTTCTTATGCATAGGATATGCATAAGACAAGGTTTACAAATGGAATAACTTCTCTCTCTTCCCTGGCTTACTTTTGATAGCTGACTTGTTTTTTGTTTGTTTGTTTGCTTGCTTGCTTCTTTGCTTAATTTTGGGTTTTTTTTCCTGGTTGGTTTAACTGAAAGACTATTCAGAGAACAAATATCTCTTTGGTGGTGGTCTCTTTCAGGGGCAGAGGTGATGTAAGATCCTGGAAAATGGATGGCAGTGAAAAAATGGCAGTGATGAGAGCGATTAAGGAAGAAATGTTCAGTGAGAGTGGGTTATGCGCTGGGAGAAGGGGAAGGCTGGAACAAGAAAGTGTGTTACTAACAACACAAGAGGAAGGGTGGAACAAGTGATTAAAGCATAATATAAAACCTAAAGGAGGAAAAATGGTTGCAGAAAGGTTTTCATGTGAGAGCAGGAAACATTGCTTGTCTGATATATTTTTGGAAGAGAGGTGGAATGAAAAGAGAGAGGAGCATTTCTGAAGACCAAAGAGGATCCTAAAGGCAGACTAAGGAGGGATCAGTTGTGTCACTGATGTTAATACGAAAGCTCATCGTGGAGTCTTGCTTTTTAGCAGCATGTTATAGCCAGGTATCTGACCCCTCTGCCTTGTGGCCCAGTAGCTATCAGCATAGAAGCATATGCTCCAGAGAAACAGAAGTATAATGGGTGAGATCAGGGAAAATGATCAATTTGGCCTTCAGTTTCCCATTATAACTCCCGTCGACTTCAGCCTCTAACTGTTTGATGGGATACAGCTATACAAATGCTACATCAATATGAAGTTTAAAATTCATATCCCTGTTTACTTGTCTCCAAAGACCAAACATCAGTGTTTGTTCTTGGCTTCAGATAGAGACATCAATATCTCAAGACACTTGAGAAGACATTTGTTAAGAAATAGCATTGCCAGTTTCATTCCTGACATTGGAATTCCATAAATAGGGGAGAAAAATCAGCCTCAACTATGAATTTGAGGTTCTGACAAGTTGAAGATGATCTGGTTAAGTACAACAATCAATATACACTTAACAAGACATTTTATAGGGCTTGGAAAATAGAAAATGGGAAATTGAATTAGAGAAAGGGAGCAGCTATAAATTTGCATTAAAGTATCTTTTCTTCCTGTCCCACCCCGAAGAAGTGTGCTAGTGATATATTTCAAATAATAAATAAAATGATACCTATGGACTGAGAGAGAGGAAGGGGAAGAAGGATGAAAGGATGGAATGCCTGAGGAAGACAGAGAGTGCATGGGCTGGGTCAAAGATAATGGCGACAGGGCTTATCCGAAAGGTAATCTCAAGCCCTACAATAACATTGCCCTCTTCACAAAAGTCCATTTAAAGGACTCTTAATGAATTAAAATTAAGAAATGTCCAATAAAATGTCAAGAATCTTACAGAATTTCCATTTGTAAACTGATAATCAAGGAACTGGGGAAGTGTATCATAATCATATGGCCCTTGATGATTTCACAGAAGTCTCCCTCAACTACGTACCTGAGAAGTGACAGTGCTGTGATGAACGATGTACGATCACCCAGTGGGCCCACACTGCCCCCTATAGAACAGCCCACACAGGCACACAGAGGCAGCCATTCATCAGTATTCAGCTTTGCATTGATTTCCCACCTTATGGGAAAGTTAGGAGGTGTAATACTTGCTGAAGAATAGACTATGGAAGGTGATTAGGCTTTGAGGTGAAAAGAAGCTATTAAAATCGCCAGAAATTAGTGATTCTATTGCCCTGTGTCTTATGCCCAAGGCCTAAGCGCGGAAGCTCTGCTTTTTATGTAAGAGGAATAGCACTTCTACCACACCCACCCCACCACCACCATTTAGGTTTCTGAAGTGCATTGTTACAGCCTTCATTGAGGAATCCTTGGGAATGCAGCTCTATAGTAGCCTATTTTCCACAAGAAAGAAAAAGAGAAGGGGGAGGGAGGGAAGGGAGGAAGGAAGGAAGGCAGGAAGGAAGGAAGGAAGGAAGGAAGGAAGGAAGGAAAGAAAGAAAGAAAAGAGAGAGAAAGAAAGAAGGAAAGGTGGGAGGCAGGAAGAGAGAGAGGGAGGGAGGAAGGAAGGATAGGTGGCTGTGAGGGAGGGGTGGAAGAGAAAGGGAAAAAAGGAAAAAAGAAAAAAGTATATGTGTGAACAGATTACCCATCACTTAGATTCAAAGTAGAGGGATTTAGTGGGAAGAAGGAAGCCACGGTTGGCGGTGGTGCTTTTCCACAGAACAGGGTCAGGAGGGGAGCGTTGCTTGGGAGGGGCGGCGGAAGCTGGCCACCCCGACAGAGAGCACTGTGTGGGCAGCGGGGTGCTCTGCTGACCCAGCCAGGCCAGAGCATATGAGGCAGCTGGTGAGCTGCTGCCAGCCAGAGGCAGCAGCAGGTAGAAACCAGAGCCAGGGCCCCTGAAGAGTTCACGATTATCTTCACTGGTGCATCAGCACATTTTCAGTGTTGATGGGCGTGATGTGTGCTGACTTTTTACAGTGTCAGTTTGCGGTCACTGGTACAGGCTGCCCCCCACCATATACTTATATGTACTTTTGCACTCTCTAGTCAAATATTGGTCTCCAACGGCGTCAAAATAATGGAATGACAGTGTAAGAATACGCTGTACTTACAGTAATTTTTTCCTCATTTAAGCCAGTGGAAGCATTCCTTTTGTCATTTCTTGTTCTCCACACATTCTAGCATTCTGTTTGTCAAGGATCCATACCACCTCAGTCTATAGATCCAAGTAATGCCTTTTATACCTTTTCCTTCATCCTAGGCAAAGGGCCCCATAATATAATTTTTCTGAACATGTTAATCCAATGGCACAATGTGTAATGTGTATGGGCAAGGACTCAGCTCCTCAGTCCCTGTCGGATCAGGGCAACATGCATCACATGGATGAAGACTGGGACTTCTGACAAAGCCAAGAGAAGTTCCATTTCATCATATGTAATGTAATAGATTTTATGTTTCCACACTGATGACTGCGATGTACCCACAAAGGACGCCAATCTTGTTTCCGTGCTTATGTTGAGTTACTTGCAAAGCAACAGATAGGGAGGGAGAATAAGGATGATGATTTTAATGTCATTACTTTTTATCAAATGAGTGCTTACAAGGTACTCTGCACATGTGCTATCCACTTAACATACATGATCTCATTTAACCATCAGGACAACCCTATTAGGTACATATATGTCTCCATTATACAAAGAAGTTGAATAACTAAGTAAGGCTGCAGGGATTTACATTCAGGCCATCTGTTTCCAGAGTCTAGGCTCTAGACCAGGGGTCGGCCAACTTTTGAAATGGAAGAGCCGCCAGGGGTCGGCAAACTGCGGCTCATGAGTATATACATGCGGCTCTTTGGGTATGTACATGTGGCTCTGAAGTAAAATTAAAAATGAAAATAAAACTATTACAGTTTCATTTATAATATTACTTCAAATTTTCCTTATTTTTAAAAATATATTTGTGGCTCTCAAATAATTTTTAAATTGTTGTGAAGGACAGGATTGGCTCTTCCAGGGGTCGGCAAACTTTTGAGATGGAACGTACCCAAAGAGCTGCATGTGGCTCGTGAGCTGCAGTTTGCAACCCCTGCTCTAGACCATCACATCATATAGATTTGTTTATGCAAGAAAAGGTTAGGAGATGTATCTTTTGTTGTTTGGAGGCGAGAAGACAGCTAATTTCTTTCTCTTTTTTTCCATTAATGAGGTCTTTCCACTGACTATTCCTGCCCACCCAAGAGCACTGCTTCTGTCACCTCCCACTTTCAGTTCCATTAACTCCCACCAGCCTGGGTCTACTAGATTCATTAGACCGTTTGTTTCTTTTTGTCACCTTGAGTTTCTGGACTAATATTTCAGCCTAGTCGTCAGCATTTGACCCTTGAGGGGTCCCCTAGGATGGTTTAAAGGACAGAATGGATCAATGTGTGAATTGGATAAGATACTGTACTCTGATGTTTGAGGCTATTGAATACAAAAGAATAAAAATACAAAGAAGTCTGCACTGGTCCACACCACATCAGTGTGTAGGCGGTTTTTACATTTTCTTTTTAGTTTTAAAAGATTATTAACTTGTAAAACTATACTTGATTAAATTTCAAGTACTACCTAAGCAACCCAGCTCTAGAGGAGAGCCCTTAAAATGAGGGCCTCCCTGCTTCATTAGAAACCATTTTAAGTTATTGTCCGAGGGGCCCAGTGATTATGCACCACTTGATGAGGTCAGTGAAGACTTGGCAAGGCCTCTTAAGCAGCTACTTCTGGCTTCCACGTAATAAAACAGTTTGAGCAGCCATTTGAACACTACCTACATGTAGTTTGAAAGGCTGGCTATAAACTACCCATAAGCACTCTGGATACAAAAGGAAATAGATGGGAAACTAGTTTTAGTTTCAAGAGGATATGGTGACTTCCAGAAAGTCTGAATATCTGCAATTCCCACTGGAAATTAAAAGAAAATCATATATATATATATATATATATATATATATATATATATATATATATATACCCAACCCTCAACTCCACCTTTGTCATTTAGGTGCTTTTAATTCAGAGGGTTTTCTTGTGAGATGTTAATGCCCATGTAAGTGTTTCTCAGGGTGTCCCAGCAGAATCAGCCAGTAATACCTCCTCCCTCCATTTAGCAGATAAGAAACTGAAGCTCAGAGTTAAAGGGCTTACTAAAAGCCACAGAATATGGTGCTGGGCTCAACCTTAGAGTTCCTTCTCTTCCTAAAACTTCCCAATCAGTTGCTAAATTAGGTTGACCTACTCAAGTACAGACCTCAGAGATACTGCGGGTTCAGTTGCAGACCACTGCAATAAAGCAAGTATTGCAATACAGCAAATCATAATCGTTTTGCTGGTGGAGGGTCTTGCATTCACTTTGTAAAAAATGCAACATCTGTGAAGTGCAATAAAACAAAATGCAATAAAATGAAGTCTGCCTGTATTAGCAGCCAAAAAACAAAGCACATAGCACCAAGGTCCCTGCCCTTCCCTATTTTTGGATATCAAAAGTTGGAGAATTTTATTTTTCATTTTCAGTGGCATTTACTTCACTTTACACTCTTACAGGAGCCCACAAGCCCTGGCAAAACTATAAAATACAGCAGAATGATGGTGGAAGAGTAAGGATCAAAAGCTGCGATGGGATGCATCTAAGGAATGATGTGTCAGCAGGATGGAATTAAGAGAATGAGAATAACTAATCGGGCATGATAGGGCTCAGATGATGATAGCAGGGTGGAGCTAAAATGATAAGCTGGGAAGCAGTTGAAAAGGCGAGGAAAGGAGGGTGGGTAAGATGGTTTAGCAATACAAATGGTCTTGTGGAAATGAGTGCGGAGCACATTTACCCAGCTGTGAACAGTGTGATGAGAAAATATTAAGCTGAGTTATTTAAAGAGTCTGAATAATAATAGTAATAATAAAAATAAAATACAGTAGATAGAATATAATATGGGACAGTGGTCTCCAACTGCTACATAAATGCTGAAAGCAGTTTAGCTTTTTATTTTCAAAGCTGGAAACTTAACACCAAATAACCAGTGGCAGTTTAAGCCATTTTTCTACTTGACACTTGTGTAACTAAGACACAATTGTTCACTGCACTGTTATTGACCTGTTCTGTCTTAATGCGCTTAGGAAACTTTGGCATTTATGCTACAACTTTCAGCCAAGCTAGAGTAAAAGCCCACTCGGTAAGGGGACTGGGTTTTCTGTGTCCAGGTGTACTGAGTGCCCAAATTCCAGGCAAAATCTACACTTGCTAAGCATATGGTACACAATGGCAAGCAGATCAAATTTGAATATGCACATATGATTTTCTCTTTGTGGTTTTCTGATTTTTGTTGAGTTTCATTTATCATTGGTCTTTATTTAATCAAGCTGCTAGGAGGAATGTAGAAAAGTGTGTACTAATTCTACTACACTATAGGGTTTGGGGGTAGCACCCTATCTCCGCCTTTCTGAAAAAGCCTCAGAGGATGGTTTAGAATGAAACCTGGGGTTTGGATGAGATAAGTAAAGGATACCTTTAAAGCCTGAACTCTGTCAGCATGTACAATTTATGGTAAGTAGCTTAGGGAGGGGGCTGTGAGGGACACATAGCCAAGACTCAAGTGTTCCAAAGAAAGGCATCTCTTATGACTCAACAGGATGTATCTATCATCAAGCAAATTGGATTGGTTGATCCATTTCAGGTGAGATTGTATTCCCACAAGAGGGTGGGATTAAGGAAAAGACTAAAAATAAACTTATATCATGCCCAGAAACTTAGTACTTTGGCAGTATTCTTGCACTGATATCAGTAATATGGAAGTAAAGACCTGAGGGAAAAGTTGAATTAGTATTTCCCAAAATAAATTTTCCAGATGCTTGGCTAAAGCTGTTATGAGCTATCATGCCTAGGGAGAGGAAAGGAATCCTTAGCTACCGTAGGTCCATCTGTCATGAGTTAAAGAGCTCAGAACCAGGAACAAAATGCATAACCTGAATTTCATCACTACTAATTTAAACATCCTGAACCCCAGTCCTCCAAAATATCTTTAATTTGGTAGTCGGTTTTCCCACCGAAGGGTATGATCCTGTTTGTAGGGTTACTAAAATAGGATGTTGTCCCCTACTGCAGCTAAAGGCTTTTAAAAAGGATTTGGATTTTAAGTGTTACTAATAGCTCTTAGTACTTTGGCATTGACAGGAAGAACAAACTCTTTATGGGAGATATCCTATAGGCATGGGAATTCATCTGTTTTATAATTGTCTGAATAGCTAAACATGAGTAAGATATACATAGATATATAGATACATATCTCTCTATATAAACTCTCCATGATGATTACTATTTTTCCCCTTTAGAACGTGTTCTACCCACAAGCCCCCACCCCATTCAAGGTCAGTATGATTTTTATCACTGTAGCTCTATCGCTGGGTCATTCTCCATCATCTATTAATGTGGTAAAGACACAAAGGGGAAAACACATTCACAAAATTAACATCCAATAGAAATCATTATTTTAAACCTTCAAAAGAAAGTCAATCAGTTGTCCCACACCAGTTGACAGGCATGTAACTGATCCGTCACCTAACTTAACTTCAAGTTGAGAAGACGACGCTAAACTCAGAAAGCATTTTGTTCTTCAGTTAGTATGTATTAAAGATAACTATGAGCTCACATATTTGGAACAGAGCCAGTTAAATCCTATAGCTCAAAAAAATGCAAATCCTCTAGCTGACCACGCTCACATTGGGAGGTTTATACAAATCTGAATCTGAAGTCATTTGTATTACTTGTAAAAATGAATTTATCTATGGCCTAAGGTTCAGCTAAGCCCAATTACAAGGACATTACTTTTTCTTAAAATCTTGCCCAACTCACGGGTGTTTCCTTTTAAACATAACTATTTTAGAAAACACAAAAGGGAAAAACAAGGTAGTCATTCTTTATTCCTTTTCATAAAACTTGCTACATACTCAAATTAAATTTTGCCTCCTACATCACATTTACATGCAAGTTGCAGCCCCAACTTTCTAGCTTTAAGGCTGTTTAAAGGCAAATTGGCAAATAAAATTAAAACATTACCAAAAAATCTGAAATGAAACCAACCTACCATTGAAATTAAATTCCAGAAAAGTGATTTGCAAATAACACACAAAGACTTGAGAAAAAATGGAAAGTAGGCCATGCGGGGGCTAATGTGGAAAAAATAAATCCAATTAAACAAAATTATAGTATACACTGTAAAGAAAATGTGCTCAGAATTAAAGGGAGAAAGCTGCTGTTTTATTAGTTTGAAGACAGATCATGTTTCATTACCACTTGTCCAAACTAAAAATTAGGCCAGAATTCAGTGTACATATTTAGATCATCAATAATGCAATGTTTTGCATATCTATGTACTCATAGATATACAAACTTATTTTAATTATATTTGAAAGGAGGATTGCAAGGTTTTAAGGATCAATTAGAACTTAATAAAAAAGTTACTCTTAAATTTGAAGAAGGGTCCAAACTATTTTTAGAATTCTGTTGAATAAAATCCTCCCCTAAAACATTAATGAAATCTGTTTCTTATGCCAGCCACTAAAAATAACACTGTTAAAATTTGCCTGTTTGTTAGACTTGACATGAAACTTCGTGTCACGGAAAATATCTTATTTTAAATTCCTGACATGCCACAATTATTTTAAGACATCCTCTCGTGTTGCTGCAGAGATTGACATCATTTTATCATGTTGCCATCTTGCAAGTATCTTGATGTGACAAACACATACATACACATTGATCCCAATAGATAACATTTTCAAAGGGGTCTTGCTCCATCCAAGGTGAACTTTGCACAGTGTCACTATGACTCTAGGTGTCCTTTGTGAGAGCTGTGGTGCAGACACAAACTCAAATATTTTATCTGATCATGCTTTATGATATAGGTAAGGTTGAACAAAATGAAGCCAGACACAATTCACAAAGGACAGCTGTTGGATATTGAGAAACAGTCTGAACCAGGGATGGATCATATGGGATTTTGTTGAACTCGATATTTTCCCACACACTGAACTGTTGATTGGAGAATGATCCCAGTTTGATTTTACGTTGTAGATAGTATGTAGATAGCTTTCGTAGATCCAGTAGTTTTAGACAATATAGTTTATCTGACTACTAATATTTGGGGCTTCTGCTGGTTGAAATTGAAAAGCTGTTCATGCAGATTTGGGATAGCGGGTACGAGAAGTTGGTAGAGAAAAATAGTGCCATCTTAAGCCCCTTATTCCTTACCAAGACTTTATTTTTGTAGAGGTCAAATTCCCTCTCTCCTCTCCTTTCCAATCAAAATGGGAAATGCAGTTTCCCATGAGGGAAAAAAAAATACTAACATGCAGAATCTTTAACTTTTTTTTATAGTGCCACTTAAGTATCGAAATATCTGTGAAAGGCATGCCTGCCTCACTGTGATCATAACTAGAGCACAAGATACCTTCACTAATTAAATATTGTATTTTGTCATCTATGCGGAATCCCTACATTTTAGCCCTAAGTATTAAGATGTCTATAAGCAGCTGGCTAATGCAAATGGCCTGAAGGATTTTGAACCAATTAATTTCCTTAAGGTGTTTCAAAAGTAGGAGAAAGTCCCAAAGGTCCTTTTCTATCCTCCTATTATAAAAAAAGAGAACCTTTCCTCCTACTTTCTAGTAATAGAAAAGACATGTGTCTTTTCAGCTGCTTCATTGTTAATACCCCTCATCGGAGGGTCTCCCCTCCACCCCCACACTACATGGCTCATCAAGCTGACTGGGGATAAACAGCAGGGTCACAGCAGGAATGCAGTCCTAAACCCCTTCAAGCTGTGATTAAACAAAAACAAGGCTCAATAAATCAAATGTATTTCCCTTGAGTTTCCTTCATCATATTGCTTGATTTTCTGCAGTGATGATGATAATACTGGAATTACACCAAAGAATAATTTGTATTGTTTGTGGCCAATCAGAAATTTTTCAAATGTCCTTTTCTATTCTGCCGAAAACTATACAAAAAAAACACACCAAAAATAAACAGTGCTCGTCCCTGCTCCTTAATTTAAAAGACATTATATATATATTAATGTCTTTTTATTAAAATATATATAATGTCTTTTAAATTAAGGAGTGTTCCATCTTTGATCTGTTTCTGATAGGTGTTTTTCTCACTAATTTTAATTTAGGTTTATTTATTCTGAAATGAGTCCTGAAAGGCATATATTTACATAACTACCCCTGAATATATCCTTGCAGAAACTCCACTGAATTGTAAAAGGAGTGAAGAGTCTACATCTGAGGGAGGTTTTCTCACTTTGTTACGCTCAAATCATTTCCTGAGGCCTCTGAATACTGGGAAACAATAACATTGTGCTTCTCTCCTCCCTATGAGCTTACTGTGCACAGCCCTTCAGGACGTAAATGCACCTAGAGATGCCCTCACGTTTGGAAGGACTGCACGTTCAAAATGAGGTGACCAGATCAGCCTCAGAAAGTTAAAATAAAGTGAAAGAAAAGGACAAGGACACACCACCCTCTAGTGAGGAATTCCCTGGAGCTTAGGGCTCTCTGGGCTCAATCAGCCCATCTTTCTCCAATCACAGCAACTTAAAAAAAAAAAAGTCAATAACCCTGGAATGTCTCACTTGTTTACCTCGCATCTGATTATTTATCCCAAGTGAACAGCCTTTCCATTCACTAACCCCATGTGGCCAGTGGGTTTGGGGAATGTCGAGGTTATCTCCCAGGTTCAGGCATTGCACTGGGTTTGTTCACAGCTGCTTGCTATTCAGTTCCTGTTTTTCCATTGATAAAACACATTGCACATGGCTGGGTTTGCATGATTAATACAGCTGTCTAAAGCTTTCTCTGAAAACAAAACAAAACCCTCCCAAATTAAAGTTTAAAAAAATTAAAATCCAATCCACAAACAAACCAGGCTTGCAAAAACCTGAAGTCTGCCTGGCATGTTTCCACCTGAGGGAGACTGGTGTTGTTATGGGCAGGCCTGGCATTAGAACAGCCAGATTCTATCTACAACAGGAGGAGGTGATACACCGACCCTGACCTGGCACTCCCAGGAATGGGCTCTCAAAATCAGACTCCACTGGGGTATGAAGAAAACTGGGAGAAAAATCCTGAAAATGTCTCTTGCTGTGAGGATGACTAGATAATCCCTACAGCTTTCTTTATTCTCTGTAGGATATTATCCCAGATATCATTGAGAAAATGCCTCTGTTCAATTCCTTATTATAACAGCACTTTCATCTTGTCTAATAATAATGGTAATAATAATAATAATAATTATAATAATAATAGCTAACATCAATAGTGGGCTTCTTCTCATGTAGCAATAGAGTTCTAAAGCCTCTTGCATGTATTAACTCCATGAATTCTTACAACCCTAAGAAACTAACATACACTTTTTAATCATTATAATGTACCCAAATTCCAGTTTACTCCCCACTGCACCCAAGCATAGGTATAAATCCATAGTACATTTTAAATAAACATTATGTATGCATTAATGTTCATTAGATACATAGCTGCTTAATGAATTTTAAAAATTCATCTAATTTACTTTATTATAATGCTTATAACACACAATACCTAATATCCATACACTTTTACAAAGTCCATTTCCAAATATACTCAACTCACACAGAGATTTATATGAAAGTGTTCATCTTTTAAAACTGTGAGCAGAGCTATCTGGCATCGGCACATCTAATTTCACACACTTATTCAGGCTAATTTACATACACACCTCTATTAATCATGGATAATTACTAGCATTGTTCTCTTTAATTCAGTTTTTCCAACTGTGAAATGGGAAAGAAATTATATTTTTCATGCCTACAAGCTCAGGGTGATGTTTTAAATAATATATTAAGGAGTGCTTCAAGTTCCTAGGGAGAAAATACATTGAATTTAAAATAACCATATGCAGAGACACATATTTGTCAAAATTTTTAAAGTACTGATATTTAGAGACGTACTTGTATCATATTGTGTGGATATTAACTAGATATAAGTTTAGCATGGCTTCATTGTATTTTGATGTGTTATGGAGTCTAGGGATGTCTAAAATGCCCACACTGCTAACAAGTTTAAATAAAGAAGTATCCCAAGGCCGAATAAAATAAATTCATTATTTTTACCAGCCTCATAATAATACACTTAAGAGGAGCTGAAACTTGCACAGTTTCCTATTTTGTGGCCCACGCACATACACTCACACACATCAGTGGATACCCATCAAGCACGATACCATCTGTTAGACTAATCTAAACTCATCAATCTATAAAGAACCTGCCCTTTTTTTGTGGTCAAATATGTAAAGCATATCCTAGGAACGGTTTCAGAGTTTAAACCCATGG